CAGTCCTAGGAAAAAGACATCATGCTGAGAGAAGTAAAGGGTTAGTAAAGGGAGAAAAGAGCCTCAGTGAGATGCACTGACACCGTGCCTTCAACCAGAGGCCCGCGCACAGCTGAGAACGTCAGAATAACGCAGGGCTGCACAAGGTTTCAATCTGGTGCCTACGAAGCTGCTGTGAGTCGGAGTCCACGGGACAGAACTTAACAACAGCTTTAAAGCACTTCACAGTGTTTCAAAAAGTGTGAAGGCCTCAGCTCCAGGAGCACCTCCTCCAGGAAGTCCTTCCTGACCACCCTGCCCAGGTCAGATTCCCATTGCTCTAATGACACACTCAATTTAGTCTCACAGATACAACTGAACCTTGGCTTGTGAAATCATCACCTTCATGTTCCTCTTTCCCATAAAGACCATGAACTCCAGAGAGGCAGAAATGATGCCTTGTTCGTGGATGTACTCAACACCATTCCTGCCTCGGAAAAAACCACCTGATGCTTGGATGTAATAAATTCGAGCTCTGACTCAACAATACTTAAGTGTTGCAGGCTGTATTTCTTATTCCTGGTCTCAGCACTTCCATATCCTCCTTTTCCACACCTTCTTATGAAATCAAAAGACAAAATGCAGCAGTTCTACCTGTATAAAGTCCCAGCATCTGCCCACACCGCAATGATCACCTAACTATGGGTGGGTAGGCAGCGCCCCCGTGTGGTGTTTTGTTGTTGTTGTTGTTGTTGACTTACTGTTGTTGATATTCTTCTAGCTTACGGTTTTTTCTTCCAGATCAACTCTCACTTTCTTCTTCTTGTCCCTACTCGCCTCTCAGGAAAATCATAATCCCTGCTCCTGGAGACCCTGGAATCTGGAGAGATTCCTGTCTGGCGTAAGCAAGAGAGGACTTGTTGAGAATCAGACAGGCGAGGAGGTCACCTCTTTGCCCTGTGCCCTGAGAAGGTGACTGTTCCAATGGGCGCTCTCTTGTCCTCCGGTTTCCAGCTGGGCTCAATCAATAAAATACTCTAGCAGCACATGGAAGGGCAGGATGAGAGAGAGCCTGGGGTGTTTACTCTCCTCTCCTTGAATGTTCGCTCCTAGTGATGCTTTGAAGGTACAGAACATAGCAGGACAATGCTGTATCACTTTCAAGACCAGGTCATAAAAAACATCCACTTGGCTTTCCCTCTCTTCGACACTTGCTCTCAGATGGAACTGAGACCTCCCACCAACAGCCCACACTCACCTGCCAGCCATGTGAGCAAACCCGCCTTGGAAGCAAATCCTTCAAGCCCAAACCTCCAGTCAAATCTTCAGCGGACTGCAGCCTTGACCACCATCCGGGCTGCAATCTAACGAGAGACCCTGAGACAGAAGAGCCCACTCAAGCTACTCCCGCACTGTGGACCCTAAAAATGACATGAGCTCACCATCATCTGTTTTAAACACCAAATCTTGGGGTGATTTGATATGCAGAAATCAACTATTGTTACAACTGGCAACAATATTTCTCTGCTCTCACCCCAGGACCTTTGTACCTGCTGTTCTTTTGCCTGGAGCTATCTTGCCCTGGATAGCCACTTAGCTCCCTTGCATCCCTCCTTCACATTTTTCTTCAAGTATCTTTTTCTTTTTTGTTGGTCATTTTTATTTTCTCTTTGGTGAAATGCCTATTCAATTCCTTTGCCTGTTTTTTTTTTTAAATTGGGCTGTTTATCTTTTTGCTGTTAAGTTGTAGAGGTTCTTTATATAGCCTGGATAGTAAGCTTTTAACAGATTTTATAAACAACACACTCTATCCGTAGGTTATCTCTAACTTTTTTTTATTTTGCTTCATTAATTTAATGAACATTTACAGAGATTTTGAATTTCCATTCATTCCTTGTTGCACTTTATCTCTAACTTTTGAGTTCTGGATTGACAAAGTCAATTCTCCCTCAAATGTCCTTTCCTGTGGTCTTCTCTCATCCTATGGGAGCTCTAGTGGCCTCATGAGTAGAGATAACTTGTTATACCAAAGGGAAGCAGTTTGAATCCCCCAGCTGCTCTGCAGGAGAAAGAGGAATAATCTCCTTTTGTGCCATTTTTAGCCTCTAAAAACCTACTGAAGAGTCAGCTATGAGTCAGTTCCAACTCAACAGCTAAGAGATTTTTTTTTTAGTTTCTCTGAACCATAAACCCCTTGCAGCTACAAAGTAATCTCCTGAATGGGGTGCACACACTCCAAAAACCAGTCTCTGAAATTTGTTGTTGTCGTTGTTATGTGCCATCACGTCGCCTGTGACTCATAGCAACCCTATGTATAATAGTTCTGCACTCTGCTCTATCCTGAGCCAGTCTCACTGTCTCCAACACACTTATCCCCATTACCCCAGTTACTGAGTCAATCCATCTCTTCTGAGGTCTTCCTCTCCTGCACCCTTCCAAGCATAATGTCCTTCTCCAGGGACCAGTCCTTCCTGGTCACGTGCCCAACGTATGTGAGATGGAGCTTCAAAATCCTTGCCTCCAAGGAGCAGCAGCCTGGTTTCACCATCTCCAGGACAAACCTGTTTGTTCCCTTGGCGGTCCATGGTATGTTCAATACTCTTCTCCAGGACAACTCAAAGGTATCACTTTTTGTTCCATCACTCTTAGTCAGTGTCCAGCTCTCTGATGCATAGCAAGTAATTGCAAAGACTGAATGCCTGAATCAGATGTACCTAGGTCTCCAGATTGACAACATTGCTCTTCACTTTTGAAAAGTCCCTGACAGCAGCCTTCTCTAGAGCGATTCATCTTTTTATTTCTTCACTGTTGATGCCAAGAGTGTTGATTTTGGAGCCAAGCAAGCTGAACTTGTTAACAACCTCAATCTCTTCTCCATCTATGATGGTGCTGCCAAATATGTGTGTTATTTCCATTATTGCCTAATATGCAGAATATAGTAATACTGTCATGTTTGCATGTAATTGATTTTATAAGTATTTATATACAAGGGGGGGCACCAAAACACCATAGCCTTGGAATTGATTATGTTTCACAGCAACCTGCCATGAAGTTTCCCAGGCTGAAAGATGTTTATAGAAAACCCCTCATCTTTCTTCCTCAGGGCAGCTGGTGGATTCAAACTGCTGACCTTTGGGTCAGTCTTATACATTAAGCCACCAGAGAATCCACATAGGGAGGCAGATTAAAGCAAAATATTTTCATGCTGCTGAGCAGATTGATTCCAATCGATGGCGACCCAAAGCGTTACAAAACGGAACTAGTCCAAGGCATTTTCTTGGCTGTAGTTGTCCCTAGAAGCAGATTGACAGTCCTTTTTTCCGCAGTGCTTCTAGGTAAATTCAGACTCCCAACATTTAAGATAGAGAAGACCAGCACCATCTGCATCACCCAAGGGACATCAGACACACACTGACAGGAATGCAGGGCTGGAAAAAACCTTTTTGAAGCTGTTCACCCTAATGTGATTTTGCAGCCTAAGAGAGATTTGGCAACATGTGGAGGCATTTTTGGTTGTCACAACTCAGGAAGGTTGCTACTGGCGTCAAGTGGGAAGAAGCTAGGGATGTTGCTCCATAGCTACAAATCACCCAGCAGCCTTCCACCACAAGGAAGTCGCCGGCCCCAGTTGTGATTATGTGCCGATGAGTCGCTTGCAACTCATAGCGACCCTATGTACAACTGCCCTAAACCCTGCTCTATCCTGTACCAATATAGCTGTCTCCAACACATCTACCCCAGTTACCCCAGTCACTGAATCAATCCACCTCACAGAGGGTCTTCCTCTCCTATGCTGTCACTCCACCCTCCCAAGCATGACGTCCTTCTCCAAGGACTGGTCCCTCCTTGCAACATGTCCAAAGTATGTCAGACGCAGCTTCAGAATCCTTGTCTCCAAGGAACTGCCTAGTTTAACCCTCTCCAGGATGAACCTGTTCATTTTCTTAGGGGTCCATGGTATACTTTTCTCCAGCACCACAGCTCAAAGGCATTAATTTTCCTTCTATCCTCCCTAGTCATTGTCCAGCTCCCTGACGCATAGCAAGTGATTGTATCAGGTGCACCTTAGTCTCCATAGTGACACCATTGCTCTTCAGTACTCTGGAGAGGTTCCTAACAGCAGACTTCCCCATCGCAATACATCTTTTAATTTCCTGGCTGTTGGTGCCAAGAGTGTGTTGACTGTGAAGCCAAGCAAACTAAAGCTGTGAACAATCTCAATCTCTTCACCATCCATCCTGATGCTGCCAATTGGTCCAGTGGTGAGAATCTTTGTCTTCTTGATACTGAGCCTCAGTCCATACTGGAGGCTGCAGTCCTTGACCCTCTGCAGCAAGCGCTTCAGGTCCTCCTCGGTTTCAGCAAGCAGGGTTGTGCCAGCCCCAAATGCCGATGGTGCCAAAGCTGAGGAGCTGAGCAAAGTCCCAGAATCCCCATTTCTTCAGGCGCGCGTTTTCTACTTTTCACCTCGCGTTAGGACTTAACACTTCAGATACTTGGTGTGAAGCCTTTTTAAGGGCTGCCAGTCCCCAGTGCTAAGTTCGAATTGTTTCAACCTTTTGGTTAACAATTCATATTCCCGGGAGGCCCTAGAAAATCCCATTCCTAAGGGCCGCCTGGGACCAGGGGTCTGTATTTTCGACCAGCTCCCCTCCCTAGCCCAACCGGCCCCTCGGACCTGGCACACAGTAACTCAATGACTGCTTGCGCACCTTCCACCAGCCAGCCGCTCCGCAGCGCTCCGCTGTCAGATGGAGCCACTTCCTACAGCCCCATTCTACAGAGCTGGAGACTGAGGCCCAGGGAGAGGACACAGCCAAGGGGGAGGGCCAGCGACCCAGCATCGGGCAAGGGCGCGGGTCCCTGCTCAGGGACACTTCGGGCAGGAGGCCGTGATGAGCCAGGGTGGCGGGCGAGCCTGGGAGGCGCGGGGCTCGCTGCGGCCTTGCGAGGCGGCCCCGCCCCCACGAGGGACGTGAAGACGCGGACCCCGCGCAGCGTGGGGACATGTGACCGACTGCAGAGGCCGCGCCGCCTCCCCTCCCCGAGGTCTGCGCGCTCCGCCGCAGGGCGCGGACCCGGGGCGCCCGCCCGGCTTGGGGGCGCAGCAGCGGGGGCTGAGCCTAGGCGGAGCCTGGGCGCCCCGCCCCCCCGAAACGAAAGCGAAAGAGGGGGCCAGAAAGGAAGGGCGGGCCGGGCCGAGGCGCCGCCCCCTGCCCTGCGTGGCTGCCGGACCGTCGGGCGCGCCCAGGTAGGGGGCTGCCGGTGCCCCGTGGAGACCCTCGCGGAGAGCTGCGCCGCTGCCACCATGTCTCAGGAAGGTGTGGAGGTAAGAGATGGCGACAGCTGCGCCAGGGGTACCCCGTGAGAGACGCCGGGAAGGGGCCGGGGACGCAGAGGGGCGTCGCATCTCCCAGGGACCCCTCATCCTTAGCCCTGACCTCCTCACTGGCTGGCGCGCGCCCCTCTCGGAAAGTGATCCTCTACATTCCCCAGAGCGTAATGCGGCCTCCCCAAGGAAAAAGAGAGGACTGTGGGTCAGAGGTCAGAGGCCAGAGGTTACCTGGCCAGCCTCTCCCTAGCCTGGGACGTTTGCCCTAGTCGGTCCCCGCTCCATCCCCTAAGGCCCCATGGGGACTTTGGATTTTTCCAGGAAATGCCTTAGAAGGATGGGTGGGCGGAGACCAAATCTGAGGGTAAAGTTCAGGCTAGGTGAGCCAGGCCTGGGGTGGGGGAGGGGCGCCCGCGTCCCCCCCATCCCCGGCCCCCATCGGAGCCCCCTCTGTCCCCATCCAAGCTGGAGAAGAGCGTCCGGCGCCTCCGGGAGAAGTTTCATGGGAAGGTGTCCTCCCGCAAGGCTGGGGCTCTGATGAGGAAGTTTGGCAGCGACCACACTGGAGTGGGGCGCTCCATCGTGTACGGTGAGCTCGCGGGAGCCCTGGGCTGAGGGGCTGCTCGTGGAAGCGCCAAGGTTGGGAATAGGCAGGCTCTCAGATCACCTCGTCTGCGTCCCAGCCTCGGCCACGCGCTCTGCTGGGTTCAGGACCCTCACTTACTCACCCTCTCCCCTCCAGAGGTAAAGCAGAAAGACGGCCAGGAGCTGAGTAATGGTCTGCCAACCCAGGTAACCAGCCCCCTTCCTTCCTCGATGCGGGAGGGAGAGGAGAGGGGATAGCCCAGCAGCTCAGTGAGCCACGTCTGGAGACGGAAGGACAAGGCCTGCTGGCCCACCCTCTGGGTTATCACCATGCATCACTTCTCCATTGTAGGCCCAGTTCGGGAGCTGGTAAACAGGAAGTGCTCAATACATGTTGGTTGTATTAAATCGGAGATGGAGACACAAAACTGGGCAGGGCCAAGAGCTAGGATATCCATGAGGAAGATGAGCCCTGAAGGTCAGGGAGGGCTTCCTGGAGGAGGAGATGTCTAGTTGTAAAGGAAGTGAATGGCCTGAGCAAAGGCTAGGATGAGCAGATTTGGGGGGCAGGGACGAAGCAGGGAGCCCCTGTGTTCAGTGAATGAATGAAAAACTTGGAGGCAAAGGTGTACCCCATCTGCTTTCCCTCTTAGAAATGTGACTTTGGCATCCTGGACGCAGTGGGGTTTTCCTGCTGAAAGGCCCAGCCAAGCGTTGCTGATGAGTGATAAGAACAATAGCCAAGGGGGGTAACAAGAGCACTTCCCTGTCTGCAAGTGTTGACCGATTTCAAGTCACAGCAAGCCCACAGGAAAGTGCCTCCTTAACGTCCTCCCCATTTTACAGATGAGAACACTGAGGTGCAGAGTGATGAAGTCACTTTCTAGAGTACCAGAGACAGCAACTGAGATGTGAACACTGGCCCCCTGGAGCCAGTGCCTGGGCTCTGAGGTGACCCTCATGATGGCCCAGGATTTGAACCTGTTACTGTCTGAATCCAGAACCCATGCATTGTCCTAAAACACCATGACCCATAAAGAGGCAGATGAACCACCATGCCAACAAGTGTGTTTTTGTTGGAGGCTCGTCCTTCTCTACTAGCAGGGAGGGGACACAGGTCCAGGCTGGTCCTCCACACGCACACAGAGTCCACTTTACATGGGGTGCACTCCAGCAAGGCCCCTCCTGGCTCTCAGCCTTAATTTCCCTGTCTCAGCAATGGGGCTGACAGGTGGACACACTTCTCGGGGCACTCCATAGGTGGGGGCCACTGCATTCACTCATCATGACTTGGCTGCTGCTAGGTCCCACAGAGTCAAGTACAACTCATAGTGACCTTATGAACAACCATTCTGAATCCTGTCCTATCCCGTGCCATCCTCATCGTCTGATACACTCAAGCCCACTGCTGTAGTCACTTCGTCAACCCACCCGGCTTAAGGTCTTCCTCTCCTTTGCTGACCCTCCACCTTTCCAAGCATGATGTCCCTCTCCAAGGCATAACGTCTCCTAGCAACACGCCCAAAGTATGTGAGACGAAGCTCCATCATCTCTGCCTCCAATGAGCACTCTGGCTGCACCTTCTCTAAGATACAGAGAAGGTCCGTGGGCTATTCAGCATTGAAATCAGGTCACTCCTTGGAGGCAAGGATTTGGAAGCTCCGCCTCACATACTTTGGGCGTGTTGCCAGGAGGGACCCAGTCCTTGGAGAAGGACATCGTGCTCAGAAGGGTGGAAAGTCTGCAGAGGAGAGGAAGACCCTGGATGAGAAGGATGGACACAGTGACTGGCAGTGGGGTCAAGAGACTGTGAGGTTGGCTCAGGATAGGACAGGAGTCAAAGCCAGTATCCGTAGGGTCACTCTGAGTCACAGTCAACTCAATGGCATATAAGAACTCATGGGGCCCAGGGACTCCAGAAAAGAAGCCCCCTCACCAACATATGAGGCCTGAGGCCCAGCTCCACTTTCTCCCCCTGGTGTCTTCATCCAGGACCCCCCAGAGGACATGAAGCAGGACCAGGACATCCAGGTGAGCCTCTAACGGGAGACCAGCAAATGAGAAGGGAGGAAGGGGGGGCGGGGCATACATAGGGAATGGGACATCTCTAAGGGCACACCATTGGGGAGGGGTCAGGTGCTTATGTTGGGAGAGAAGTGACCCCTTCTTGTCCCCATGTACCCCATCCTGCAGGCGGTGGCGACCTCCCTCCTGCCACTAACAGAAGCCAACCTGCGCATGTTCCAGCGTGCCCAGGAGGACCTGATCCCTGCCGTGGACCGCCAGTTTGCCTGCCCCTCCTGCGACCATGTCTGGTGGCGCTGTGTGCCTCAGCGGAAGGAGGTGACAGTCCAGCTCCTGACCCCAACCCTCACCGGTGAACCTATGACCTACAGACATCAACCTCCAAGAGCTTGACTCCTGACACCCCCCCCTCAAGAGTTGAGGTTCAGAGAGGGAGGCAGGACCCTGGCCCCCCCAGGGGAGTTATGTTCTTATTATGTACCATCAAGTAGGAACCAACTCATAACTAACCCCTAAGTGAATTTTCAGGGGCAATAACTCACAGGAGAGGAGACTGCCCATCTTTTTCCTGCAGAGCAAGCTGGTGGATTTGAACCATGTGCCTTTGGTTTGGCAGCACAGATTACAGCTAAATCATCAGCAGGCCCTCCCCAGAAAGAGTACGGTACCACTCACCGCACAGGTCCTGACCAGAGCAGGACTTCTGCCCTTCAAGTGTCAGCTCCCACAGAAATCAAGCCTGTCCCCAAGACCACCACCCCTCGTGTGACCTCTGGCTCCCTCATCCTGAACAGCCAGCCAGCTCCAGGGAGGGGGGGCGCGCATTTACCAGTTCCTGTGATATAAATATTTCCCCCTGCACTACTGGTAGGGAGTCACTAATGGTAATGGTGCAGTGGGAAGCCAAGATGCCCAGGGTCAGCTAACATATCACATCTCGGCCCCCGTGCTCATGCCACCTCTGACGGGGAGCCTGCCCCCCTCCTGTGCCCCCACCCCAGGTATCCCGATGCCGGAAATGCCGGAAGCGCTATGAGCCAGTGCCAGCCGACAAGATGTGGGGCCTGGCTGAGTTCCACTGCCCGAAGTGTCGGCACAACTTCCGGTGAGGGCGCTGACCCCCAGCCCACCCTCAGCCCCGTCCCCAGCCCACCCCACCTTGCCCTCCCCTGGTCCCACCCCGGCCCAGCTTCACCCTCGGCAGTCCCATCGGGGAGCCTGGCCCTGGGCCCTCACAGCCCTGCCCGCCCCCCAGGGGCTGGGCACAGATGGGGTCCCCGTCCCCCTGCTACGGGTGCGGCTTCCCCGTGTACCCGACACGGATCCTGCCCCCACGCTGGGACTTGGACACACAGCGCCGCAGCACCCACACCCACTCCTGCTCGGCGGCCGACTGCTACAACCGGCGAGGTGAGGCCCTGGCCCCCCACCGCCGCCCCCAACTCGTGGCTCTGGGGACATCCACCTCTGTGGCCTTAAGAACTGCCAGCTCCTTGCACACACCTCCTGCAGCGTCAGCCCCCTCCTACACACGCGTCTCCAGGTCCCCATGTCCCTCCGGTAGCCATGGAGTCAGCCCCTCCCACGCTTTCTCCTGGTCTGGCTCACGTGGCTCTGTGGCCTCCCTCCAGTGGCCCACCTCCCTGTGGTCTCTGTGTTCTCAGCGGCTTCTGTTTATTTTGTCTTCTGTGGGCACAGGGGACCCCATCGTGTCCTTGTCCCCCTGGTCTCCTGTGCTGTCAGCCCCCAGACTCTGCTTCTGCATGTCAGCAACTCCTGTCCTGTATCCCAGTCCTCTGCCTTCCCCCGACCCCAGCACCCTGTGTGGTCTCAGACCCCGTCAAGCCCCACCACCCCAGCACCTCTCCCTCCGCAGAGCCCCACGTGCCTGGGACGTCCTGTGCGCACCCCAAGAGCCGCCGGCAGAACCACCTGCCCAAAGTCCTCCACCCCAGCAACCTCCACATCAGCAGTGGCTCCACCGTGGCCACCTGCCTGAGCCAGGGGGGCCTCCTGGAAGACCTGGACAACCTCATCCTTGAGGACCTGGAGGAGGAGGAAGACGATGAAGAGGGTGGGCACGGGGCATGACCCCTGCCAGGTGCAGGTGCAAACTAGACACTACACAGTCTGTGGATACTTTGTATTATAAAATATGAGCTCAAATCGAAATAGGAGTGCCCTTGGGGAGATGTCTGGGTCTGAGGGGCTGGCAGAGGGAAGCTGGGGGGGGTGTCCCATTTGCAGGGCTCTAGGGAGCACATCCCTTTGGGAGGGTCAGGGCCTCTTGGGCTCCTGTGACAAACGCTGTGAGGGACAGACAGACGGACGGGGTCACAGGCTCAGGGGCCGGATCAGCATGGCAGCCTTCTTCAGGGAGTACGCCCCACCACGAAATTCAGCCCAGTAGACACCGTCCTGGTAGCGGCTGCGGTAGTGGCCGCCGCGATGCCACACACCATTGAGGTTGGAGTGGGCACAGGCGTGGTACCACCAGCCTCCCCGGTGGTACAGGGCACAGTTACCTGAGGGGCAAAGAGAGTCCGTGTCCATTCACCAGAATAAAAGCCTCTTCTAACAGCTCGCTCAGTGCAAGGCTTCTGCCAGCATCCCCTCACCCTCATTACTCTGATCTCCTCATCAAAATAAGAGCCCTAACAGCCTCCCCACCCCCACTCCCACCTTTCTTCTTCAGCTTTACTTATGTTCTCTTAAGCAACAAATAATCAGTGTCGACATTCACAACTTTTCCATGAGCTAAGAGCTCTACTTCCCATTTTAGGGGGTGGGGAGGAGAAATCTTTCTCTACTTCTTTTCTAGAAAAAGAGCTACCTCTCACTCCCTGCCCTTTACCAAAATAGAAGTCCTGCCATGTTGGAAAAGGAATCTGGGCTCCCTATCTCCTTACCAGAATAAAAGTCCTATTCTCTTGCCAGAATATAGAGGCTTGCTCACCCTTAGTAGGTCCTCACCACAAAGGAGTCTTACCCCACCCCTCCTATTCCCTCCCCAGAATCTAAATCCCGCCTCCCTGCCCCAGTCACCACCACAAAAGAGCACTACTTACCAGAATAGGAGTCTCGATCTCTGTCCACAGTGCTGAAGGGCTTATCGTTGTGCCAGGAGAGTGAGTCGCCAGCATCACCGTGGTACTGGCCCAGCCGCAGGCGGTAATGATCGCTCTCGGGCTCCAAGGAGAAGCCATCGTAGTGTGCCCTTGCCCCACGGCCCCCCCAGTCCTCCAGGAGCACCAACAGCTCATGGTCCCGGCGGCTGGTCAGTTGGTGCACAGGCTCCAGGCCAAGCCAGTATTCTCCATCAGGCCGCCCAAAGCCTGCCTGGCAAAGCAGGAAAGGGAGGAGGAGGAGGTCAGGAGCAGCCCCCTCCCTTCCCCAGCACCACCCTTCCTCCCCACCCACCTTGTAGTTCTGCCAGGTGGTGAAGAAGTTGACAGACCCATCTTGCCGCCGCTGGATCACAGTCCAGCCTCCACCCTCCAGCTCTTGCTCACACCACGTGGACACCACATGCCGGCCCAGCCGCAACTCGTACACTCCATTCTGCACGTAACCTGCTCGGTGGGCCTCTGCACAGTCCCGCCAGGGGCCTGCAGGCACAGGGATATGAGAAGACACAGCCAAAGCCAACCCATCCCTTGTAAGAGAATACATTCTTAAAAGAATCTTTATTCTCCCTGATCCCCTCACCAGAATAGCAGTCCTCTCTGTCATTCCCTCATCAGAATAAGAGCCTACATACCATTTTTCTCACTTAAATAAGACTCCAAGTTCCTCTCACCAGAGCAAAAAGTGAAGTCTGGAGGTTCTTAAACCTTAGTTCTGTCGTTCTCTCACCAGAACAGAAATCCTGAACAAATCCATCTCAACATGCCCAAATTTGCCACAGTTCCATTGTCCTACTGATTCTTACTACAGGACAGAATAGAAATGGGCTTCTGCGGTCATTGGTGCCACCGACCAGGCTGACTGGAACCACAGGCAGTAGAGGTGGCGGTTGGACTTGGGGTGACCAAGAACATTTGGGATGTGTTGGCACTAAGCCTTGGCTCCCTGATTTCTGAGATACAACTCTAAGGAAGCAGGTTGCCTTATCTGTCTCCTGTGGAGAGGCCGATGGGTCTGAACCGCCAACCTTTCAGGGAGCAGCAAAACACTTAAGCCACTGTGCCACCACCAGGGCTCCTCTCACCAAAGTTGTATACCTTCACATCAGAACCAACTCAGCTGGGTTTTCTGAGGCAGTAAATCACATAGGAGAAAAATGCCTATCTTTCTCCTGTGGAGCACCTGGTGGATTCAAACCACATACCTTTGGGTTGGCAGCGCAACTCATAAATCCCTTGTCCCTCCATTAAAATAAGAATTCTTTCTTATCCTTTACATTATCATAGTAAGAATGCCGTTCTTTTTATCACAGTAAGACCTACACTTCTCTGTTTTGTTCTGAGACTAGAAGTCTCATTTTCTCCATTCCCCTTGTCAGGAGAGGAATCTACCTTTGACATCCTGATCCCTATATGTCCCTCTCTGCTCATGCAGCTAAGAAATCCCCTAGGTGTTTTCCACGTCCCCAACAGCCCTGTCCCTCTTACCTGTTGGCTTGGTTGAGGCTGCAAGGTGCCTTGCGGGCATGGGTGAGGCCAAAGGCCCCTGCTGTCTTGAAGTCTGGTCTTTCTGGGGCTCTGGAGCAGAGCCTACCCTCCTGCTGCCTTCGGTGCCTCCCACTAGGCTGACCGGAACCACAGGCACTAGAGGTGGCGGCAGGACCTGGGGGGACCGAATACTTTTGGGATGTGCTGGCACTAACCCCTGGCCAGGGCTGGGGGTACCGGCTAAATCTCTCCCAGTACTGTGGAGCTCTGGTGGTGTAATCCTTAGATGCACTGCTATCTCAGAGCTCTCCCAGTACCCACATAAAGCAGGGTACCTTCTCCAACTCTAACCCCTGGAGACCCCAAGAGTCAAGCTGGGCTTAAATCCAGAACCTGTACTCAAGTTAAAAACAGACCTGTACCGTGATTCCCTCTAGAGATAGTAAGCAGACATCCAACATTATCTTAACGAAATCTGTTAAGGTAGGGGCTGTCACAGAGCAATGATCTCTTCTCCAAAACCCAAGGACAGACGTGTCCTGCAGCTCAAACTATGTATATACTTCACATCACCAACCGCTCAACACGGTTTGGGGTCTTTATCCACATAAGGATTTGCTTGATCCTGTAAATATTTCATGTAGGGGTCTTATTAAGAAACTAAATACCTGCTGATCACATGGACCTAAACGAAGGTAAAAGCATTTGTTTGCAGGGTGTTTCGGATTTTGGAACTGTGGGTAAGAGTGGCAGGGTTGCAGGCAGACCCGTGACAGACAGTGCAGGCCGGAAGTGACTCCGGGATTACCTGCTGCTGCCCGCCCACGCCCCCCGGGCACAGGCGCTCGAGGCGGGCGATGAGGCCACTCTGCTGGCTGACCAGCTGCGCCAGCTCGCGGAACTTGACGTCCAGCTCGTGGAAGCGGGCGGCGGCGCGCTGCGCCTCGGCCGACGCGTTGAGCACGCGCTCGCCCAGCAGCGCCAGGGCGGCGGCAGGCTCCGCCCCCGCT